CTTATTTTAAAATAAGTAAAATTGTAAATTACTTTTGTTTGACCATCTTCTAGGGATAAAAGGGCCAGATATTATGAGGTTCATTCTTCTTCTGCTGCCTTTCATTTTATTTGATTTTTGATTACATATTTTTATTTTCTATTGTATACAGTTATTTTGTTTTTAATGAAATGAATCAATTTCCAAATAAAACTAAAAGTCAGAACAAACATAGTTCACAGGTTAAACTATAAAATGGTAGTAAATTTAAAAGATTAMTATTCATGTATCATGTCGTCCTCTTTATCAACATCAACATTTTGCCTCAAGGCATTCGTCACTGCCGTCTGCGCTTTGCAGTTTTGTGTACTTCATATCGTTAGGCTGGTTGTAATACTGTACACATAAAGTAGGACCTTGTGGACCAGAAACAATCATTACGTGGGCTGGTTGTAGTCCACAGGCCTTGGTATGTTTGACCCTAAAAATCAGGTTAAAGGGATGACAAAATATTCTCACAGTTTTTTTTATTTATTCAATGATTCACTACCAGAAATGGTTATTTTCATTTTTTCTTCTGCCTCTCAGAGTTTCCCACACTGACTCCATTCTGGTCACAGAACTTTGTGTCCTTTTTGTGCCTGAAGACACATTTTTGTGTCTTTGGTTGTCATTCAGATTAAAGATCACATATTTTAATATCCCACAATTCTTTGCTTATTATTGGTKTCACACTTTCTGTCATTTCCTGCCATGTATCAACTTAGGGCTGCACAATATTGTAAAAAACTGACATTGTAATTTTTTTCTAATCCTGTGATATATGTTGCAATTTTAAAAAAATACAGGAATTTTCGACAGATGGTTTGAAAAACACTTTATAGTCTGCTACCGTCTTGTTGATGATGAACCTGCACCGATCTTACCTCTTTTTGTGCATTACACTGYTTGTCTGACAGTTATTCTTGTTATAGTGTTGGAACCTGAGTRTGTTTCCTTCTTTCATGTGCAAACATTTTACCACCTAATGTGTTGCATCTTTGTAGCTTAGTTTCGGTTTCCATCACGCTTTAACAYTTAGGCTAACCCTATTTTACCTCTTTTCCTTCAGTTTTTGCTCATCTTCCTTGTTTTCATCAAGACACTYGTCTTTCTCCACAGCTCAATACGTCACCGACAACACTTCCCTGGAAAAGGTTGACATTAACGTCTCAGACGTTTCTCAAAAAAATGAAAGTTATAGCATTTTTGACACGTAGCTGCCGCAGAAACATTCTGTCAAAATAAAAGCTTACATGTGGCAGTTTAGAGCAATGACTAGGTTTAGTGGTTTAGTCCTTAGATAACATGTTGATTTAATTTGCCTSCTRCGTCACAGGACCTGCAGTGTGCACAAGTGTGCACAGGTACAGTGCGATGACAATGCTCAAACATTTTATGATCGCGCTGCTCTAGTTTTTACCCTTTGGTTTGTTTGCACTATTAGCAAAATATCYCATGAATCACTGAATAAATTTGAATGAAACTCTCAGAAAGTCATCGCTGAATGAACTTACAGGGGATTATTTTGGACTCAGACCAATTCAAGATGGCTGACACAGTTAATCAGGCTCAGCTAGCACAACAGTGGCTATAACTCARTGAACTTCACAGATATTTAGCCAACATTTAAGTGGTAGAATGTGAGAGTAATCCCTGACACACACTCATGCAGTTCACGCAAGATCAGACGTCATGCATGAGACTAAGSTTAATGTAAAAAGAATATGATTTGGCCAAAACAACTGGAATGAGTTTAGATCTGAAAAGTGGTGGATAATATGCATTYCTTTAAACCGTTATGTTGTAAAATATTTGTCAAACACTCGACTCAATCCTGAGGTATGTGAAGGGGCATTCATGCTGTCAAAAAGATAACACCAACTAAATTTAGCAGGAAGAGTTGATGGAGGAACGTATCTACTAAGTTGAACTGAAGCACCAGCAAAGCTGGACGGACTTTTGACCTCTTTACTTCATCTGAGTGTTTTGTGGCGTCCTGTGATTGGCTCTTCCTTCTTCGCAGCTCGCTGGTAACCGGTGACAAACTCCCTGCTGCTTTTTTTTCCAGAAGTTGCATACATTCATGACGAGCAGCAGACACACGTGCTTCATCTAATCAGAATAATTTTTTCATTAGCTGTCACCTGCGTAAGAATATCCTGATGGGAATCTGACTCCTGCTTATTTCCAGAAGTGCTCCCTTTAGTCATGACTTCAGTGGCCTGGCAGCAGCTGACTGGGATATGGCCTTTGAATTTAATGGGTAACTTTCTGCTGCTGGAAGACAGTTCCCCACACTTTCTGACTACAAACCAAAGCTTGCATTTTAGAACTGAATCTGCAGTTACGTGATTTGATTAGCTCTTATTTAACACACAAAAGTAAAACAAAAGAATACAACAACAATTCAAATGACATATTTCACAAGCAAGGGAAGGGTAAAACCCTGAATAGGCTTATGTAAAAACCACTCCCAATCAAATCAGACTACAACACAACAATAAAAAACCAAAAAATAAAAATAACCACTCAAATAAAATAATGAAAAAGAAACAAAATCAATACAAAAATCAACATCAAAATAAAATTAAAAATCTATCAAAACACACACAAAAATAAGAAAAATCTAAATCACTTAAATTATACATTTCAAAATCAACAACTTGGTTTTTAATCTATTTTTATACACAAAAAGAGATATTAAAGGTTCCACAAGTTCAACATTTAAATTCCACATTTTAGCTCCATAAAATCTGAT